CCGTTAATAGCTCTCTTTTCCTGTCCCTGCTATAGTTGCATGTGTGGTTTGGGTGGTATTTCGGGTTTGTATGGCCAGGTTTTAGTAGCAGGAGGGCTACAGGGGTAGCTGTAGGTAACAACTTCTGTGAGAAGCTGCCAGAAGCTTCTCCCGTGTTGGGTAGAGCTAATGCTAGCTGGCTCCAAGATGGACATGCTGCTGGCCAAGGCTGAGCCAATCAGGAATGGTAGTAATGATAGAATGATAGTAATGATAGCATATCTGAAAAGGAGAGAAATGTTACTGTGCAGTTGTAATGGTGGCCAGAGAGGAGCAGGGTGAGAACATGTCAGAGGAAGTGCCCTGCAAACACCAAGGTCAGTGGAGGAGGAGGGAAGGAGGTGCTTCAGATGCCAGAGCTGAGATTCCCTGCAGACCATGGTGAGGCGGCTATGCCCCTGTAGCCCATGGAGGACCATGGGGGTGTAAAGCTCTACCTGCAGCCCCTGGAGAAGACCCACACCAGAGCAGGTGAGTCCCTAAGAGAGGGCTGTGAACTTGTGGGAGGCCCATGCTGGAGCAGGGACCTGCAGGGACCTGTACACCTGTGGAGAGAGGAGCCCATGCTGGAGCAGGTTTTCTGGTAAGACTTGTGGACCAACACTGGAACAGGCTGCTCTTGAAGAACTGCACTCTGTGGAAGAGTGAATCACACTGGAGAAGTTTGCAGAGAACTGTGTGAGTGTGAGGGGCCCCACCCTGGAGCAGAGGAAGGACTCTCCTCCCTGAGCAGTGGCAGAAACAACACATAATGAACTGACAATAACCCCACTTCCCATCTCCTTGTGCCAAAGTGGAGGTGTGGCTGACTGTAGATATTGCTTTTTATCTGGGTGTCCTGCATCTATATTTTGCAAAATTATGTAGTTCTACTTGAATATTTATTATTATTTCTGTTATTATTATTATTAGAATTATTAAAATTAATATATATTATTAATTCTCGCTCTACATCATGCTAAAATCATGGATGTCTTTTAATTGTAGGCCTTTGACTCTTGTTTTTGGAGAAGTTTCCACTTTGTGTTGGTTCAATCACCTTGCAGACAGGCATTACTGAAATTTATGGAAGAATGTAGCAGATTTAGTGAGGGAACTTACTGTGACCCAAAGACTTAAGCTCTGTTTATTATTTATATTAATATCGGTGTTTTGAGAGCAGGATACCAAAGTATTTGTGTGGGAGATAAAAGTCATCTCCTGCAGTTCTGGCTGCCATGTCAGGGTACAGCCATAGCTGGGGACCAGGTGCTGCAGCGCTGCGTGATGCTGGCTGCCTCCCTTCATGGAGTGCCAGTCCACGCCAGCTAAAAGGGGAGGATCGGAAGTCAGGAGCTGTGACCTTATGTGACACTGGGACTCAAGCAGGGAACAGGAGCAAAATTCAGGTTGCTGACAACACATATAATGTTTTAGGTGTCTTTTTTCCCTATAGTGGTTTTCAAGAGCACAGTTGTAGGAGCTTTTAAAAAGCATAAAATAGAAGGTGGCATCTGTCCCTCCCTAATAAACTTGATTAGTACCTTTGCCTTGTCAAAATGATGAATATAACTCAAACCTTGAAGTCCAGGAAATGATGAGGTAAGGACCAGCACAGATTTTAATATAGTCTTAGTCTATATTATACCTGATTATACCAATTGGAACTGATTATACCAATTGGAACAGCTTAGTAACATTTATTATTTATAATAAGCAGGTATGAAAAACTGAGAAAGTATATTTTTGTTTGCATTTTCAGCTTTTATTGTATATGCTCTGGCTTCACGTAGCTGGGAAATACTTTAGCAAAGGAAAGCATAGCTGTTGGCTCACAGCAAGTACTGCCTTTGGGAAGCAAGTGTACCTTTATAAGGGTGGGATTTATTAGGCTGCAATGTTAATTAAAAGGAAGGTTTCTTCTCACGTGCATTGCCAGTGATGTGATGAGATGCGATGTGACAGTCAGTTGTTTGTGGGTGCGATGAGATGTCACGGAATGGAGATGAATCCTCAGATCAAAGGGGGAGGATTTGTAACATTTAGTGCAGCTGAGAGCATTTTGAAATGTACAGCAGCAACATTTGCTGTAGCTCGTTTGCTTTAGATGACTAACACAAAATTGGATGTGGCCCATGGTGACTGTACTTTCTTCCTATGGGGGTTGTAGTGTTTGTAACATGGAAATAAATGGTTCTCAAAGAAGGTTTCAGCTGCACTATGGGGCTTATATTGCCTTAACCTCTTATTTCCAATTTAAACTGTGAGGATTTTGGTACCCTTCACATTTCTGAAGGATGCTTCCCTGCTTACTGTAACGTCTTCTGTCACTTTGCACGTTAATTACATTGAATAAATATTTTTTTCAGTACTGTCATGCAACAGGTTTTCTTTATTAGGGCAGGGAAGGCATATGTGTAGGAGTCTAGCAATGTGATCCTCCCCTATGATACAGGGGACCCAGATTTTAATATCTTCAGCATGAAAGACAAAAACAGGCATACTGTTGAAATCGGGGTTAATTTTGTATTCATCTACTACTCTGTCTCAGGCAGGGCCAGTACTAGTTGAATAAGGTATAAACAGCTCAGCAATAGTGCTTTGGTCTTTCCAGCTTTTTCCTGTCTGCCTCTTTATGTTAAGTAATGCTTGATGTGCTTTTCTTACATAAATTCTTTTAATGGGAGATCAGATCTGTCATGTCTCAGAAGGTAGACTCAATTCCTTTCATACAGTAAAAGGGGAGATATGTATGCGAGGCTGTAGCTGGTGGTGTTCAGAGGCTGATCCCAGGCTGGCTTGGCAGCTGCTTCCACCTCTTCAGACATGAGCTCAGGTCTCCGTTCCTTCCTGGGGCATGGGGACAGCAAGTGAGTGATAAATTTAACAGAGAGTATGGTGGGTGGTTTCTGTAAGCAATGGTGTGACTTCAGGAGAGGATTCGTAGTTGAAAAGTCTGAAAAACCAAAGATACCTTTCATAAGCCTGACGGCAGTCCAATACTGCAGTTACACCTTCCACTGACTACCACTTATCTCAGTATTTTCTGTGGAGCTTGTTCAAAGGACCTTGTGGGAAGAGGTAAATCCCAGTGAGGTTCTGGAAGCTGTAGTCTTAGAGTGTCTGTGTGAGTTAAGCTGTCAGTAGTTTACTTTACTTTCATTGTGTTTGGTTCAGTTTTCTCTCAGGGGGGTGAAGACTCTGCAGGCAAACAGAGCCCTTCTCACACAGTAAACATTTTCTGAAACAATCTCAGGTTCAATATACAAGTGCAACTTGGCCTCCCCTGACCTGTGGTGGCTGTCCTGTGAGACTGCCTACAGGTTGTCTAGCATCAGATGCCCAGCTGCCAACGACCTTTCTTTTCTAGTGCCTCACATTGCTCGTCACAGCTAGAATTAAACCCTTAATAATGTTTTCATTAGTGCTTTTCCAGTGAGACACTGGGTTGAGCAAATTGCAGAGTAGGCTGAGCCAGTAAAGGAGTTCTGGAATACTTGCAGAATCATTATTTTGAGAGAAGAGACCTGAGCTCCCTGGGATTTGCTGGGTCTGGAAGCACTTGATAATGTTAGCTTGAAGCCTTTCCTCCCCTGCAATACTCTGCTTTCTTCCTTTTGTCACACAACCTTCCCCTGCTATCTCTACAAAAAGGCTTTCATGCAATCTGGCCCGTCAGCTGTTGCTTTTGTGCATTGTGCTGGATCTGGGATAAAGCGTAAGCTCTTCAATTCTGATGCTGTACAGTGTGGCATGAATGCTGATGGTGCTCTGGTTAAGAATAAGGCAACCAAGCAAATGTACAATTAACAATAACTAAGCAGATGTGAGAACAGTGAGTTCCTAGAAATAGTTGCATTTTTAAAGGTTTTCCTTTGCTTTCCCCTTTCAAAGCTGCTCACCTCAGTATTTTCACTATCGAAAACTGCATGGTTAGGAAACAGACTTGTGTGTGTACCTCAGTATTACAAGATTTGTCTTCAAAAAGCCAATTAGTGCTTGAAGTAGAAGCTAATCTACTTCAAAAATGTAATTCCCATCCTTTGCCTTACAATCAGCAGCAAGCAACCACACTGCTGAACATCACTTTGAGAAAGAGCAAGCACTGGTCTGTTTCTGTACATATTTTCTATGTGTTTCTATTTCTAGAGGTTTTTTCCACTAACCTAATGTATGTCAGTGTGACCACTGTGTGAAGACAGAACAATCTGCTGCAGCAGAGCTCCTCCAGGGAGATAGCTTAATGAGCCCTAGGATGAGTTCTTAAGTAAAGGACGTGAGAAGCTGTAAAACAGCATAGAAAAGAAAGATGTGACATCTTTGGGAAGAGGAATATTACTTGCCTGGTAGAGGGGAGCAATTCTATTACATATTGCAGTCATAAATAGAAAGCAATTCTGTTGTGCACTGTGAGCCATAAGTTGAGCATCCATCCTGATTTCCTTTTCTGTAATAAGCAATTAGAAATCAAACACACATGGATCTCTAAAATACAGAACTAAAAAGCCCCACCCATTCTGTCATCACCACGGTGTTGACAGAACCTCCCCAGTTCAGATCAGTACTAAGACCACATCCATTCTCTTGAGAAATATTTTGTATTTTAGTTTGCTTGGGTTTTACCCAATACCCACTTGGTTTATGAATGAATTAGCAAGGCAGTGTCACACTGTGAATAAATGTAACCTGTCCTCTGTCTGCAGCTGTTTTCAACTCTTTTTAGAACTAGATGTACCAGTATGGGCACTAAGAATCTTGTAGCAGCATACGTATCTAATTTTGAGAAGGGCCTAAAGCTGCAGTTATGGCACCATGTGAGGTAAAAATTAAGATACTCCAGCTCCAGCTGTAACGAGCACTCTGTCAAGTTGTATCCGCCTTTGGAAGTAGAGGGGAGGAGAAAATGGAAAATTAAGGTCTTGAATCGAGCTGGAAACAAAAGTCAGTGCATGGATTGACCTCTGTGTGTTCTTCATTGACAGGTTGATGACGCCTGGGAGTGAAATTCGCTTTGTCCACAAGCACATGGGCCTGGTGCCAGGCTGGGGAGGAGGTGCCCGGCTGGTGCGGATCGTGGGCAGCGGGGCAGCCCTGCGGCTGCTGGCCGGGGCTGCGCGGCTGGACCCCGAGAGAGCGCTCAGCCTGGGGCTCTCCGAGGAGACGCTGCCGTCCTCAGATGGAACCAGAGCGCTGGGAGAGGCCCGGGCTTGGCTGAGTCAGCACACAGAGGGTCCGGCCACTGTCATTCGGGCTGTGAAAAAGGTGGTGACAGCAGGAAGAGAGCTCCCACTGGAAGCTGCCCTAAGGACAGAGAAGGACATTTTTGGAACTGTGTGGGGTGGCCCTGCCAATTTGCAGGCATTGGTTAGAAGACCAAAACATAAATGATGGTTTATGCATAAGAAATGGGCTTCACTTTTTTGCAAGCAACGCTTTCAGTAAAGCAGCCGTTAAGCTGAATCATTTAAGGACTTGTCCATTTAAAGTGGCATTAACATTCCTGCCATTTAGGTCAGGGAGGCATATTTGGTGTGCAACCACAGAGAAATCCCAGGCAGATTCTCTACTGTCCTAATCACCCACTGAATCAAGATTAGTGAAATTGCTATGTAAAGGTAAATACTGTGCTGAAAATAGAACTATAATTCATTTGGAATGAGGCTGAAGATTATTTTATTTGGTGGCTGGTTTTGTTTTTTTTTTTAAACTGGTATGGAAATTAATTACTTGAAAGATGTGAGGTTTATTCATTTGCAGAACAGGTGCATCTAAAGCTGCAAAATATGAGTTCACCAATATGAGACCAGTGTCTTTAAGCAGCTAGGAAAAGATGATTACTAGTGGGAGGATAGCTTTTATTTTTGCATTCTAGTTAGTTCTTTGTGCAATTGCCAAGAAAGTGTCCTTCAATTTTAGTGGTGGTTTTACAGGAGAAGCTTTGAGTTACTGAGAAGCTTCTAGCACTCGTTCACTATCACTGATTCAGGCTTTTAAATGTATTTTCTATCTTCTCACTGCTCAAGGAATCAACTACCCACACATGCATCTGCCCATTCCCATATCCTGTACCTGTGCAAAGCTGCTGGCCTGATTCTTTACACAGAATCTGGTTGAAATCTTGGAAGGCTGTGATGTATGATGCCCCAAAAAGGTTTGTCCTTAGGTGACTGGATGATGTGAGTACTTCAGCATTCTGGTAAAGATGTGAGTGGATATGTGTGTGTCTTTCTTCAATGTATTTTTACTGGTAGGGTATATTTGGGCTGACGAGAAGGTTTGGAACTCAGTCTCCCCTTCATGCCAGTGACTATGCAAGTAATTGGATAACTCAGTGGGGAAAGTTTTCCCTTTAGAAATTAGAAACTGACACAGAGTGCCTGCTTTAAAAATAAACATCTGTGAGAGCAAAACCATAAAGACATATCTGTGACTGAGAGTTTCCTGACTGTTGGTTAGGATGCACTTGTCTCTAAATCCAGCAGGGACTGAGATCTGAGCCAAGGACCTAAGTACTCTGTGGGAGCATGTAAAGAAGGAAGCTCTGGACTCTGTGCCACTGCCATGCCTTCTTGCTCTGACCAGGTATAACTAGCTCAAGATCATGGAACAAGCTCCCTTAAGAAAATAAGGCAGTATCTTGGATGGAAATCCATGTTACAATTTCCTAGTGTGGCAGGAGTCCTGAGTTTTAGACAGTGAGATAACTACACATGTTTGAGGACTTGGGGACAAATCAAGGTTGGGAATGAGGCTTGGATTGCCTGTTATGATTATGCAAGTTTTGAGCAGATTCTGTGATCTGCTGGGAATGTTTTACCGTGTGGTTTTCACAGCAATGAATATAGCCTGAAGCAACCAAGAGAAATGTTGAGGAAAGGGATGTGTTTTGAGTTGGCATCTCAAAGATAAGGAACTAACCTCCACCCTGTTGATTCTGCACCTTTGCCTTAATATCTGAAGCACTAATGGAGGAAGATTTCAAATCTCTCTTCCCCAAAAATAAAGTTCAATTTTTCCTTTTAGGTTAGAGAAGAAACAGGAATAAGAACATGGGGAAGAGTAGTGTTTTGGTTTGTGCCTTTCTCCCCCCAGCTCCTTTTTTTCCAGTAGCCCAGTAGTTACTCCTGTAACTGGGTTCTTTCCCATGCCCTAAAGAACTTCAAAACTGTTACTTCAGAAGAGTGAATGCTTTAGTATAATCAGGCAGCACTTGACTGTTTAGTAGTGAAGCTGTTCTGCTTTTCATGAAGTTTCTCAAGACTCATGAGGGACTTGAGTCTCCAGACTGCAGCATCACTGAACCTTCAAGGCACACTCCAGTCCATACTCATCCAGCTTTTTGAAGCAATAGCACATAATGTTGTTGTGAGTCAAAAAAATATGTTTTAAAGGGCAACTGATTATGTCTTTGCTTTTAGCAAGAATGAATATGCCATTACTAATACTGTTATTCTTTTTAAAATTGATGTGACAATTACTTAGAATTACTTGAATAAGACCCTTGAATCTTTTTTTCTTTGGTGTATTAGGCTCCTAAGTGTGTTCTGTGTACTGGGTTATAGAAATTTGAGAGGGAAGAAATTGTAGGACAAAGGCAGAATCTGGTTTCTTTCACATTTTGAACCAGATCTGTGCTGGCAGTTAGTGAATGGTAAGTACACCTCTGGGGGATCTCTTTCCATTTTGATTTATAGACAATGAGCTTAATTCTCATTTCAGCAAACGTATTTCCCCAGCCACCCTTTCTGATTTGTATCAAAGGCCAATGTTTGCTTCTAAGAAAACAGGGCAAATAATTAACTATTACACACCAAGACACATTCAGAACAGTTTCAGAGAGGGTTATGGAAACCTGTTTTGCTGGTATCATAAATATACCAAGCATAGGTACAGGACATCCTGAAGATCATTACAGTTTGTGATCAAGGATATTGTGAGTAGTGTCATACCATATTCTCTGGTTTATTTTCTTCTAAAAGTAGAGCCCTTCATACAAAAACCAGCCCACCTAAATTATCATGAGTGCTAAGATGAAAGTTCCAAACTGAGATGAAATGGAATCCCATTTTACCCATTTGAAAGCTAAATGCTTTATTCACAGAATACTTTCTTATCATCTTAAAGTGACAAATGTCTTTAACCAGCAGTTGATAAATGTTTGTATTTTCTTTACAATTATTAAAGATGTCAAGCTTCATCTCAGGGGTTTTTTTCCCTTCTGAAATGGTTTAAAAACAAACAAGCACTAAATACGCAAACTAATTAGAAACATCAAAATTGATAGTCCCAGTCTCCTAATTAAATAGCATGCCAGCTTTTGTATTTCCTAGGGGCTAATTTGCCAGCTTCCTCCTCAGCAAACTAAATTTCCTTTTACATTGTGAAATGTCTGTCTTGTTTTTCTTCTGTGTAGACAATGCAAGGGTTTAATGGGAGTTTGGATTCTGTACCAAGCTTGTAAAGGCTGGATACTGGAGATCACTTTTAGCAATACAGATACTTCTATCTTATTTGCTGCTGATAGAAATATATTTACCAGATGGTCAATCTAGATAAGCAAGGTGTTCTTGCAGAATGCTTGGGTCCCTATCTGATTTATATTTTTTTTAGCCATGAAATAGGATTCCTGTATCTGTGGTTATCTGTTCTGGAAATTATGAGATGCTGTAGATTTCATAGTATTTAAATTTCCTTTCTCATTTTCCCTTCTGCCTCACTGCGCATTTATCTGGCTATGCTGCACAAGTTGAAAATCACTTAGTGCATGGAATTACAGTCAACCACATAATGCAGTGAGGCTGTGGCTTTGCTAAAATGGACAGAGAACACATTTCCTACTGAAAGTAATGGTTTAAATATAAGATGGGAATTATCAGTTACTACTTTTCCCTAGCTTGATCGGGGGAGTGCAGTTGCTACTCTGACAGCTGGCTATTAAGGTCTCACCAGCCTTACTTTAACTAATTTTAGTGTTTCACAGCTGCAGTCAGCCAGCAGGAGCCAAAAGCAGCATCACAGGTGTGGGGCTGAACTCCCTACTTGGGTCAAAAACCCCAAGGATAATCACTGATAGAATTATTTGTAGACTGTTTAGGCTGTAAATCCTAAAATTAAGTATATAGTGGGTCATGTTCCTCTATTTTCTTTCTTGCTTTTTTCAACCCATACTCACGAAATGCGTGCACACAGCTGACGTGTTCTTTGTGAAGGCTTTTGCAGTACAAAGTCATGCTTTGGTTAGAGCCACTGAATACTAACTCAAATCAGAGAAATGAGACAGCTCGCAACTAACAGAGAAAAAAGCATTCCATTCAGTTTCTTTCCTGAAGTCCATGTAATTGGCATATTTCCTTATGGGACTGGAAGATGATAGTGAAAATCTGTGATCAAGAGCATTTATTCCTAACTGAGAATGGAGAAAATCTTCCTTATTCCATCCTAGTCTCACCTGCACTTTCCTGATCCACTCATCTCACCTGTAGGCAGCAGAGGAGGGGCATAACTTTGTCCAATATCAGACACGTCATCCATCATTACAGTAACAAGAACATTATAGATGTTTTAAATCTACCATTTATAAAAGTCAGCCTTTTTAATTCCCTTCAACTGGTTGCTTCCTTAAAGCAACTTTTGTCTTAAGATCAGTAGTACTTATGTATCAGCTACTCTCCCTTTCTATTCTGAGATACATAATACTAAGAATTGGAGTTTAATTAGCTTTATTTTAAAAGAAAGTCCAAAGTCACCTAGTGCTGTTTCTCAGTCTCAAAAAAATGCTAAAGAACTGCCAGAGAGATAAAAGACAAGCTGTTTCTCAAGATCTGGCTTTTAGTTTAGCATTCAGAAGTCTGTTGAAATGCAGCTCCCACACTGCTAATCCAAGCACAAAACTACCATTTCTGTGCTGCCACCACAGTTTTGCTATGAACAGACGAACCGCACTACAGTCCATAATATCCATGTCCTTTGTTATAGGGTCAGCTTTGATAACTTACCCTCTTTTATCAAATTCCTGCTGTTAAAATAAGGCTGTGTGTTACTTCTGCCTGCCATCAACAGTGAAGTGAGTTAATCAGCTCTTCAGATGTCTGTGTTAAGCTTGCAACTTATGATTTTTCAGTAAAAGACAATACTCCTACAGCGTTGTGTTTGAGCGACAGCCAGTCAAGGATGCAAGAATGTCAGGATGCCACTCAGAACTAGTCCTCCCTTCTGGTAAACACAGGAAGCTGTTCTATGATCATTTTTTTTGAACTTCCTTCAGTGAAGTTCAATTAAACTGGAAACATGTCTGAGATTGTTACTGATAAAATGTAGTTTTATTAAATTATAAATTCTGTAACAAAAACAAGACAGATCAAGAAAGATCTCAATAAACAAAACTACAAGGACTAGATGGCAAAGCCAGTGAAAAAGCCATGGAGAGTGTAAAGGTAAGGACTTGCAACACAAGTTAACAGCATTTTTACATTTCCATTGAAAGAAGGTAAATGATTGCTCTCGTCTAGTAAAAACACATTTTAACTCCAAACTCACATCTATTTTCTCACATTAAATTAAGCATCCTGCTCACACCCAACACCTTGCCTGATTCCACATAGCTTTAGTGTTCTTTTCATACATCAATCCATGCAGAAAGTAGTAAGACACTTAATGCAACAGTCAGATAATGAAGACAATTCAAGTTGTACAGTAGATATACATTGGCCAAAAAGGGATAGAATATCTTCAAGGGGAAAATGCTACAAAATAAACACAAGACATTTTCAAGAAAACTGGGCATTGCTAAAGAGCTTTCAAACCATTAACAGGACAACCCAGTTTCCTAGAGTTAAAGAGTCTTCCAGCTGAAACATGTTAAGAGACTTAAGTTAAAACAAGCCAAAACTCTTTTCTCCCCTTCACCCCACCCTCCCACCAAACACGCAGCTAGGTTTGAGTGCAATGCCAATGTGGACAGAAAATTTACAGAAAATTACAACTGAGTATTTTTTTCGCATGGCTCTAGATTTAAACTTCAGTGACTGTGCACTGTCCATCTGGCCTTCTAGATCTTACGCTTGTGTTTGCCACCCCACCCCCTGCCCCTGGTCTATCTGCTCCTGCCTGGCTTGCACCAGCACTCAAGTGTCTCTGCTGACCAGAGGATGGGTGTTGCTGAAGGTAGGCAGACACATCCTCGCTGTCGCTGCTGGCATCCGATTCGGTCTCTTCAACAGAGGTGTCGGGGCCTGGCACCCTACCAGAAGATGATGATTCGCGGTCTTCTTCTCCCTCTCCCCTGTGACTCCTTTCAGCCATACTGTCTCCGTTTATTTGCAAGTGGGCAAAAGAGTTCTCTAGAGAATTGCTTGCATCAGGTGATGGCGTCGAAGGGCTCACGAGCTGACCATCCAGTGCTGGTAGGGGCCTCACAGAAATGGATGCTAGAGGCTGCACAGCTGCAGCCCCTGGAGTCAGTGTGCTGTCCGCACCGTCAGCGGAGCTCTCTCGTGCCAGGCTGACAGTGTTGGTGTCACAGTCCAGCCTCAGCCCAGCCACTCCCTTCTTTGGTATATCTATTATGTCCCGTTTTATTTTTCTGCGACGTCCATGCTCATTTCTCCTATACTGAACCATATTTTCAAGGTCTGCCACATATAAAAAACCAGCAATTAGCATTTCAGTGCTCTTTTTACCCTTGGAAAAGGCATCTTCCAGCTCTCTGCTGGTACGTTCATCATACTGCCACCAGCCATTTCTACCTTCATAGTACCAAGCATATTCTCCATTGCCTCTGCTTGCTGCTTTGAGTTCTTCTGGTGACAGTAAGGTTGGCTTGTCAAGAAAATCCTCAGGAATCTCCTGCCGGCAGAGTGCGCATCGTTTCCCAAGCCAAGAAGCGCCCTTAACACACAGATAGCAGAAAACATGTTTACAGGGCAGACTTACTGGATGGACACAAGTCTGCAGACAGATAGCACATTCAGGAACTTGCAGGGAAGGTGCTGCATTGGTACATGACTCATTTGTCTTCCTATTTGTGGGAAGCATGTTGATTGAATGATCTATTTCACCACAGCCAGCCATCCTGCAGAGGATCAAAGACATTTAAATCAGTTTATTATGTCAACTTAAACTAGCACCTCACATCACATTTCACCTCAACATCCACACAATGAGATGTTTACTTCAAATTAAGGTAAGTTATTGTTTCCTGAGGTGATGGACAACATTGAGTACTGGGAAGATTTCTTTTGCTGATCACCAACGTTTTATCTATTTAATTTGCAGCATGTTAACATACCAAGTCAGAAAACAAACTCTGGAATTTCCTCTGTTCATTCCCTGAAATAGAGTTGATTAATGAACCTTCAGTCAACCAGTTACTTTGGTACCTCCTCAGGAAATTTAAAGAAATTATGATTCTTTCCTCAAGAGATGACGTAGCTGCAAATTGAACTTAATCTCTCTTCAGATTACAGGTGATCATCTGTTTGATTAAGTGAACAGAATCTCGGACTAGGTTTACACAATAGAAAATATTCCTGACAGCAGCATCCAGCTGAAGAGGTCCCCCACTCTGTTTCTTAGTTCCCGTGCACCATGATGGTACACTACCCTCAAACTGAGCTCAGAACAACCACAGGGCTGCAGAAAGAACCAGTCTGAAAACTGAGGTGGCTTTTTCAGAAGATACCTTGGACTCCTTTTTCTTAAAGATCAAGTGAACTCCCTGATATACGTGAAAGGAATCACTGTACACCAGCTGAAGCAGCAGTGTATTGCAGAAGACACACAACTCTGACTTGCCTGGCTTGTGAAGTCATTGCCTTTACTTTTTCTGGCCATATATTATTTCTGTTATTAAAGATGATTTTGTAACTGTAAGAGAATGGAGAATGCAAATCTGCATCACTGTGGCATCATGTAGGATTTAAGCAGTTGAAAAATTCTAGCCTAAACATGCAAATGCCTGCTCAACTACATTTTTGCCATGGCAATCTTTCATAGTCTGTTTCATGGTAATTTTTTTTTTATTTATTAACAATCAAAACCAAATACCAGATACCAAATGAGGGAGGAGAATGGGCTTTGGGGAATGGGGCCTAAAAAGGTGCCTTTTTTATTTAAAAACCCCAAGAAACTTCAAGACTGATATTCAACAAAACAGCCTTTCAGTGAAAGTGGTCTTTGTTTTACAGGCAGCTAGGAATAGTTAATGCAAAACTACCACAAGCATGTGAGCCAAAAGGGACCTTTAGAATCACCTAGTCCAGTCTCCTGCTCCACATGGCACCAACACCAATACTAGATTAGACCAGCTGTGGCTTTGTCTAGCTGAGTTTTTTTAAATCTGCAAGGATGGAAATACTACAGGCTCCCTGGACAGCCTGTTCTAATGTTACACACATTTCTAACAAAATGTGTTACCTCAAGAGAAAATGCCTACTATTACTGTAAAAGCTTCCACTGTTTCAAAAATCTTATATGCTGAGATGAAACAAAAACCTATGCTTCAGTATCTATATTTATCTTTACAATAATATATCATGTGCTATTTACTTAAAACATTTTTTTGTATGCTGTCTGTTCCCTTCTATCACTAAAATTTCCTCTTCAAAGACCAATGCCTCTTTAATCCTTTTTTTATCAAATAATTATTTTAAAAGCTTTACGGCTCAAATACTTTTTCCTGAAGTAGCACAAAATTGTATCCATCTATGTTTCAGTTTCATATCTGAATTTATTTTTCTGAGATTAATGACCAATCTGCATAACAGTTCTTAAATCAGCATGCCAGATACACATACAGCATTACCTACCAGCTGGCAACTGTGCTTTTACTGCACAGCACACATCTGTGAGATCCATTCTAACAATGTTGTCAACAAATTGCTTTTTGGAAGCCTCACACTTCTGAGGATGTATTTTGCGACAGATTTTTATAGCAAATGTAGGGGTTTATACCAAGAAACTTATTAGAAAAAGGGGAGAAGAAAGTCTGTTGCCATTTCAGAATACCACAAACACAACCCAACCATCATTTCACAACAGAAGAGCTGAAAGAGAAATCTCTTTATTGATTAATTTGTGCTAACCATGGATAAGGGAAAGTATCTTAATTTTCAAGTGCCCCCACAATGCAAAAAAGCACAGCAGCACATTTTTACTTCCATGCTACAGTTTTACAAAAGGATGCTTCTCCCTGAATATCCATTATGAAATTATCCTTTTCCAAGTGAAAGAAAAGATTAAAACAACCTGTAGGTAAGTAACTTCTATACAAGTCACCTATCATAATTAAGATTTTGGAGGTGATTAAAATGCAATGCGGGGATCAAAAAGGCAATGCACTTTGGTAAACCAAATTGTAATACCATGAGCTAAACTAAAGAGTTTACCCTGAGATAAACCAAAAGAAGAATTAGAAGTCCTCACCTGTTCACTGAAAGCAAAAAATGTTAACATTTGAACTGTGCTCAATAGGTCACCCATTAATTTGAGGCATCTTTGGTTCCTTACTAGATCAAGATAATAATGCAGGATATGAAAAGGATTAAATGTTTGATTTTTAATGACTCTAAGGAAAATTTTGTGTATAAAACACATAGAGCTGGAGGATCAAACCCTTATCTCTCTGAAAGTGCTATGCAGGAACATAAAACTCTGATACGATAAGCACAAGTGCAGTTGCATGTGCTCAGAATTCAGGACAATTATGCACTTGAAGATTTATATCAACTACACAGATTCTGTCTTACTTTTTTTTTTTTTTTAAAGCATCATGCTAATTAACATTCCTTTTTTAATTTACCTTTTTAATATCAAATCTAGGTCATGGAGTTTGTTTATAAGCTGGTAGGAGGATGCACACATAGGTTTTTACTGAAGAGGTAATCCTTAGAACGGAGGACAAACATCTTGGACTGCTATTCTGCTATGTTATGGCTGTGGAAGCACTTCCACTGCAACTTCATGGTACTAAGAATTAAATAAAACTGACTACACAGTATTTTTCCTGATATTAAAAGTAATATTTTATAACAAGGTTCAAACAAGGCTGTTTTTATCAGAACTGTTATCAAATAGGAAAGCTCTATTTTTGGGGGGATTGGGTTCCCTTTAAAACACTCCTGGCATCATGAAAAATCATATTCTTGACTGCTGACTACTTGACTAAGAATTAACTAAACTCAAAGAATAATTCTAAAAATAATTTTATCCTCAATTCAGGTACAAATAAGGGACCAAAAAGAACCTGAACTCTGCATTTTAACAAATATAGCCTAAAACCGACTGAGACAGTATGGAATTAGTCCAAAATTTTGCGAGATCCCACCTCTTGTGGTTTTTACTGGTAATCTTAAATAATACAGTTAATTTCTAAGCTATGGGGCCTTCATCAAGACATGAAGTATGGAAGACGTGATGTGTAATAACTACATGAAAAGACCCCAGGCCTTCTTGGACTCTAATGGAAGAAAATGTAAATTCCTATAAAATCACTTCAAATTCCAGGTCAAATTATAACTGCAACTAAGTAGTCCATCAAGGAGCTGACCTGTGTAAGTTCATTAACAAAACAACAGCTTACTTTTTCTTAGTAATTTCTACTGAAGCATGCCACAAGACTGAAATGTCCTCTCTTCAGATGTCTCCAGCTAGGATGGCAGGTCCTCCTTCCCAAGGCTGACTCATTCCTGACTTGTCCTGCTCAATGGTACACTACGTTTCAGCTTCTCTGTGAATTAACAGAAAGCAAATAATACCACCATTACAATGTTGTCCAGAGGTACGAGCAAGCAAATACAATGCCATGGTTCTGTTACAAAGGAAATTACTATGCTTTTATTTACTTGATGCATGTTATTTTCAATAAAACTATCACCGGACTTCCGTTTCATTTTTTGTAACCATCAATTTTGATCCAGTTTTTATTTTGATGTCTGGCTCAAAAAAATAATCTTTTTTTAAAGCATTATAAAAGGAAATTATTTTTTACTCTAGTAAGTTAATTGCATATAGTGACAACACAAAAGGAGTAAAAGACCAAAGTTGGGAGCATGTTATGTTTATGCAAATTTAACCTCTAATAAATGATCCCTTATATTTAGGAAATTTGGAAAGTCACAATGGCTTCCTGAAGCTTTTTATAAAACTATCTGTATGATACCATCCCAAAGGACCATCTAGCCATGTGTGTTGTCCTGACACAGACTAGTATCAGATGCTTAAGGAGAAAGCAGTGCACACAAACAGCTGATTTCCCCCAGGTCTTCTCCATATTTCAATCAGAAATTTGCCTCTTCATATTCCAAGGCTCAGAGCCCTGAATCCTCATCCTCTTTTACAGAGATCATTGCATCCATTTAATGAATGAACCTCAGAACCACTCAGCACTTTCTTCTTTATAAACCTATATTTGTATGTCCTCATACCAGCTTATAAACAAACTCTATGACCTATATTGGATACCTACCAAAGTAAACAAAAAAGAACAAAAATTAATTAGGACCTTCCTCTATTTCTTTAAAATGTCCTGATGGGCTCCAAGGTTCAACAATAGAAAGAGTGCATATGATCTCTAAAAAAGAGGACAAGGATGCAACTCAGCCTCCACACCTCAGAGGTAATATACTCCTCTTCAGGCTAGCAGATGATGTCAGTCACAATATATCTGGCGAATGCCACCAACCAGAATTTGAGCCAAGTCACTTCACACAAACGTGCCACTAAGTGCCTAACAAATACCTTAAAAGTTCCTACAGCAGGGAAGTAGGAATCTGCAAACTCAAAAAAGGGAAGGGAGACCATCACTCTTGCATTCTCACAGCCTAATCACCAAGGTCTTGACCTAAGAGAACCACCTTCAGTGAATCCTCTGTAAAAAGACAGTGAATCCTCTGTAAAAAGACACAGAATCACCTCTTCCTTTTGGTCTGTAGCTTTCTGGATGATTCTCAAACATCTTGAACTACAGTTTCCAGTAGCTGCAAAACATTACATATAGGAATGATTTGAAGTAGACCTGAGAATGTCACCTCTTTGATTTCAATTTGTTCAAGGAAAGAATCATTTCAGCATAAATATAGTGCAGAGCAGACATGTAAGAGTCCAGTAAAGTCAAGGAGTGATAAGTCCCTGAAAGCACATGGAGTATTACAGTGTTCTGTGCTATAGCCCTTCATCAAATGATCGAATATTTATCATTAATAACATCAGAGTGTTCAGATGACTTCAGTGCGTGAAGCATTACTCAAACATGTTATTTTCTTTGTAGCTGAGCTCCATGTAACATTTTTAGCTATTTTTAGAATGAGCTCCAAAAGAAAAATGCAAAAATTAACAAGCCTATCCACGCCTTTTCTCCCCTCATAGTTCTAAGCAGACTTCCTTTCTTCATACATCAATCTGAGACCAAGAGCGGCAATCGCGTTAGAATTGTGGCTCTACTAATCCACTGAAACAAGATACTATGTTTTCGATGATCAAAGAGACAGCTGCAACAAGCCTGACGCTCTGGGTGTGGTATTCAGTCCTTCATCTTGGGAGCTGGCTTTCTGTTACTTCAATAGGTATCACCTGAAGCCTTTTATCTACTCCCTCTCATAATGCTCTACTAGAGGTAGCACATCATAAAACCAAATGCTATGTGGAGATGGCAGAAAAAGGCTGGGTCAGTTTTTGGAGATTTCTTAGTAAATAAAAATGCATACACATATTCAAGCTATGTAATTATACCTGGAAGAATCCAAGGAAGACATAATTACAGGATTGTGATAAGGCAACCTTCCAACTGCGGCAAAGGTCTTGAAAAAAACTAGTTCACACACTGACAGCAAGTAACCCCTACAGTTCATGACATTGCTACTTATTTAATAAGCCAGTCTTGAAAATTCTACTAAATGGTCTGACAAACACTTGTGGTTACACACACCCCCTTTCTTGGATGAAGACTCCTCCTTTGAAGTCACCTGGGTAAAGGCTGTGTTCTATACTTAGCAATTAATTTTCTCCTTTTCCTGTACTATGAGGAGTTACACTATCTGCAGCAACCTGCAGATATCCCTTCCTAAACGCCTGCATCCTATCACATACTGATTTTGAAACTTTAAAGATGCAACAGACAGAAGGACAATGTCACAGGACCATCCTCATCCAAAGTGAGGCTCAGCCAGCATGGAACTGTTCTCTTTGTCCCCTTGAAAGTCTCTCTTACTGGACAAAGTCATGCCCATTTCTTATGTGCTTTAAAAATTTGAAGTGGTGGACTTCCCACCAGACCCATCTCCCAAAATGACTTCAGGTTCTCCTTAAGAACAATGTTAAGCTTTTACTAGGTCAAGATAGAATGAAACCATTTCTAGCCAGATCAGCCAACTGTGCTCGTTAAATTATGAGACCCAGTAAATTATCAGGCCCAGAACAATTTTTCCACCCTTATTCCTTTGCACCCCCCCCCCCCCCCCAACAACCAACCAACCCACTGAAACCAAAATCAGAAGCACACATATTTAGGAAGCCAGCTCATATATATTGATCATGAGTTACCTACAGTCTTAAGTTTCCTCTGTAAGTAAAATCTTAGCTTTTTAAAAACACACAAGTGCAACACTGCTGAATTCAACAAACATCAGCCTAAGACTATTATATGAGTCCTACTTCAAATAACAGAAATCTAGGAATACTGCAACTCCATTCAGATTATTTCAAAATAGCTATCACAAATTCATCATTTTCCCCCTTGCAAACTCAGCAGAGTTACAGTATTCTTTCACAAGAGTAAATGTTCTTCTGTAATTAAATACTTAGATTTTTTTCCATCAAGCTCCCTAATTTTTAACTCAATTGGTGGGTAGGAGGGGAAAATGATCCCCTGCATTCTGCCCTTCCCCACAAGTAACCACGAGCCAGACAATGTGGGAAGAAAGAAGGCAGCTGTTTTATTTAATGAGAAAAATCACTCTCCTGTCTGATGGTCTGCTAGTGTCAATACACTACCAGCTCAAGGTACTGACTCTCATCAGATATGTTTAAATCTGTCCCTGGTACTGGACAGCACAACAGATAAATAACCTCACTGTTTCCTGTGCTTGCCTACTTTTTTTCTATCTGTTTCTTAAACTTAGAATATTCTCAGGAATTGCTGATTGTGATGAGCTGCCTGTCATTCCTTATCGTTGGTTACTGCATATTAGTAAACCCTAAACATTTATATGTGTGCTTGGAATTGAATCATAGAAGAATAGTCAAGCGCAGAACAGACAGCCATTTCAGTATTAAAATGATACATGTATTGAAAACGAGGTTGTTCCCTATGTTACAAATGGAGCACTCGAATGTTGAGCATAGATCCTATTTCAATCTATTTAACAAAGAAAAATGTTAATTTCTCACTCAAAAGCAAAAGTGTACAAAAATGGCAAAAAAATGAAGCAGAAACTGGTTCATCTTAAGTTACCAATGCTTCAGAAACTCATGTAAGTACAGGGACATCTCTTCGTGTATATATATAGATATACATATATACTTGATTAATATGCACAGAAGAGAGGAAAAAAAAATCAATTTCAATATGAGAACTTTTCCAGGGGCTCACTATTCAATAGGCTATAAAAATACTGCACTTCCAGCTCTTTAAATAAATGACAACTCAATTACATCTAAATTGATGCAATATATTTTGAAGGAAACAAGAAGAAACTTTTTTTTTTTCACTCACTACAGATTTTGTATTATAGCAATTTAAACAACTGGCACTTCATCGGACTTGGAAAGAAAATACAATATTAAACACACAAGACTATAAAGCAAGTTCTTGCAAAAACGTTCAACAATTAATATTTATTCAAAATTACCAAATGAAGATTCAGATTTCAGCATGTCTTCAATACTATTTCACGCTGTAATTTTTGGTACCACATTTCTAGAGATGCTTTGGAATCTATTTTTGAGTAGCCCACCGTTCAGAGGCAGCAGCTAACAAAGCAAGAAGGTTCGGATTTTTAGGATTAGAAACCTGACAGCGGCAAAACGTTTAAAGCTCTACTCCCTATTCCTCCTTAAAATTGTTAATATATAACTGCATATTACATACCAGTAACAAAACCCACAGCGTTTCTCAGGCGTACCACTGAAAAGCTGTACTAAGATTAAAACCCCCCACCAGAGTTTCAGTTTAACTATTTCACCATTCCGATCGTCTTATTCGTACAAAACCCTCGCATTTAGTTCATGTTTTTCAGTGGCGGCAACACGTACCGCGCCAAAAGCAGGACCCGTTTTCACATTTCACGTCCCCTTTCAACATCCCTAAGGGATGCAAAGCAAACACTTGAGCCGAGGCGGTCAAGCACAAAGAAACAAGAGCACTTCCATCAGGAACACTTAGTTACTTCAGTCTGCGCCCCCGTGACCGCCCGTGCGGCCGGCGGCAGTGCCCGAGGCGGGCCGGGCACAGCGGGGACACGGCAGGGGCGAAGGCACACAGGAGAGCGCTGCCCATGCCCTGGGAATGAGAGCGCTGCGCCGGCCAGACCGGGGATTCCGCCACGCGTGACGCCGCCACGGCTAATGCTCCTGACCTATTTTACTGCCCAGCACAACGAAACCCCCCACTCACATGAACCAATACGGTTGGAAAAGACCTCCGGCCATCGAGCCCGGCCTAAGCCCGGGCCAGTCAGGCACTCTGCGCGCACCTCGCTCCGCACCGGCGTCGGGGCGCCGCCTCCTGCAGGGACACGGCTCCGCGGAAGGGGGCCTGGCCCGGCAGGAGGGACCGGGAGGCTTTGCCGGCGGTCCCAGCTCTCATTCCCAGCCCCTCGGTGCGGGGCCTTGGGAAGGGCTCCCGACAGGGCTCAGCCGCCGCGGCCCCGACACCCGGCACGTGACCCCGCGGGCGGGGCGGCGGCGGGCGACACCCCCACCCGCCCCGCCGCCAAAACAATACCGGGCAGGGCTCTGCCCGCCGGGCAGCCGCCCCTCGCTCCGCTCAGCCCAGCACGGCCGGCCTTTTGTTCAGGGCACTCACCCGCGCGGGAAGGCCGCGGCGCCCGCTCCAGCTCGGCCGGCGGCGGAGGGGCGAGGGGAGGCAGCGCCGCCCCGGCACCCGGCGGCCGCGCAGGGGGCGCTGTCGGAGCGGCCTTTGGTGGCCAAGGCCGCCACCGCCTCCCCCCGACCGCTCCAGCTCGGGCGCGCCCGAGGC